CAGGAGGATTGCTTGAGCCCAGGAGTTTGAGGTTGCTGTGAGCTAGGCTGACGCCATGGCACTCACTCTAGCCAGGGCAACACAGTGAGACTCTGTCTCAAAAAAAAACAATAAAAAAAATAAAAAATAAAAAGCAGATCACTTATTCCATGTAGCTTTTTTTTTTCAGTGTAGAATTCAACCTTTCTCCTCACCTCCTCAAATTACTGCCACTACCAAAATTGAAAAAATATGATAATAGGTTTTGCTAGTTTTGTTAGAATAAATACTCCATAATATTTGGGTTTCCTCCCTGACTGAGCTATAAAATGACTGAGAAATCTACATACAACAGATAATGTTTGTGAAGAATATCAGAAGGTTCTGGAGAGATTGTTACAAGGCTTCATAGCCCCTCCACACACACTGATGGCCTTGGAGTCATTAACGCGTAATTCCTTTACACAGTCACATATGAGCAGTTTATTCAAGCTTCAGTGGAATCTCTACATAGCTGGATCTCTAAAGAAGCCATAAACTGCAATGTTTATAATCATAAAAATACCACATCTAGGAAACATTTAAAATGATTTTGCTATTCTTCTGTTCTTGATGAGCCAGAGACTTAAAAGCTAATGGGATTTTTTTTTTTAATTTTACATCTCTTAATCATCTCTAAAGCATGTGATCACCAGGTGTGGTGGTGCACGCCTATAATCCTAGCACTCTTCGAGGCTGAGGTGGGATGACTGTTTGAGCTCAGGAGTTCCAGACCAGCCTGAGCAAGAGCAAGACCTGGTGTCTACTAAACATAGAAAAATTAGCCAGGCGTGGTGGTGGGTGCCTGTAGTCCCAGCTACTCGGGAGGCTGTGGCAGTAGGATCACTTCAGCCCAGGAGTTTGAGGTTGCAGTGAGCTACAATGACACCACTGCACTCTACCCAGGGTGACAGAGCGAGACTGTCTTAAAAAAGAAAAAAAAAAAAAAAGCACGTGACCAACAGGCTACATTTACCTTTGTAATACTGTATCTCCTCTCCTCTACCTTAGGATTTGTAAAGCACTCACATATGAGTCATCATTCACTCACAGCAAGGTATAATACACCTGCCCACTCAGTGGCAGGACCTACACATGTCCATCTGTCCGGAACTCCATACAAATTCACGTGAAGAGCTGCATATTTTCAGAAGTCTAACGTAGACCCACTTTTGCAAATTGGTTCATTTCCCCTCTTCTTTACTGTGCTTCAGAGCATTTGGGGTAAAATGTTCTTCTATTCATCACCCACATATACCAGGCCACTCCTTAGCTCCCACTGTAATTCTTTCCCTCTAGTTTAATACTGAGAGTAAGTACCGTTCTCACCTTGTACCATTTTGCAAAACAATTATCATTTGACACCAGAGGGCAAAGCAAGGTTTTGGAAACCTATCAATTTCTTCCCCCTATCGCTCCACCCCTAACTCTGTGATAAAATATCTCCACCACCAGGCAGCCTATAACCTCATAAATACTCTGGTGTTTTCGAGAAAAGGACCTCAAATGACACTTGTTGATAACATTTTGCTTCTGTGCAAAAAGACAACTCTTTTAGTACTTTACTTACATCAGCTATGATAATCAAGTTAGCAATGTTTTAAGGATGAATTTGAATTATTAGACCCATAAACCATCTGTATAGTTGTTTCTTATGTCTAGCCTCCCTTTTGTGATCTAAGGAGATCCTTTTCCTTATACCAAAATCTGACCTCGTTACATCAGCCTTTTATTAAATCAGACAAATGGGAGGCAGTACTGTGGTATGCTTTAGGTCATTTACTTACAACAAAGACTACTCTTATTTCCACTAGTTATCCCTATATGATTCTTACACACACACACACACACACACACACACATACTCTCTCTCTCTCTCTCTCTCTCTCTCTCTCTCTCTCCCCCTCTCTCCCTCGTTCAGAACAGTCCCAGCTTTCTGACAATCTTTGGGGCAGCTCCAAGAATACAAGCCTTAAAATAGCAAAAGGTTCAGGTAAATATACAGCATCTGACTCATCTAAAATGTGCAATGTAGTAAATTCATGTCTCAAAACTTTCCCATAGATGATAGGAAATGCTCAAAATTACTAGTTACTTATGAAAGAAGGGAAAGTGGACAGGAACAAGGTGGAGCAGGAGAGAAGGAGAAGCCCTTGGGGTACCGTTGTACCCCAAGGACTGGCAGGGCTCAGTGGCAACAAAAAGACACAATATTTCATCAGAAGAAACTGGTGGGCTTCCTAGACAAAGGTCTCTAGAGAATATGCCGTACTGTGAGCACCTATCAGCAATACAATTCAAAGTAAAAAGAAGTTTACAATGTTGGCTACATACCAAGGAGCTAATAGAGTTGCAACTGTTCAAAAGTTCTGAGCAGAGGAGACAAATCCAAGCAGATATTCATCAGACGACGGAGTCAAGCAAATCTCGGGTCTGTAACTGCCTTTTGAAAAGCTGCTTGGCTTTTAAAATTAGCAGTGCATCAAAACAGGTGCATACTCCATATAAATATCCTTTTAAGTCTCTGGACTTACAGGAAAAAAGACGATAGCACAATACCAGGGGTGTTGCTCATCACATGCCCTGGTGACTTCGGACACCTGCCCATCAAGATGGCATGCTACTGGCGCCCCCATCCCCAAATCTTCCCTGGGCCTTAGAATGCAACTGCATCTTGTTGGAGGCCCTGAGAAAACGGTCCTCACAGGCAAAGTGCAGGGTACCAATGCCCCGCCGCCTGCAGAGCACGATTTGCAAAGACGCCACATGGAGAAAACATGAAAAAGAAACAAGGACGAGAAGGCAACACGAAACAAAATTGTGCTTCCCTTCTGTAGTGGTCCTTGAAAAAAAGAAAAAGAAAAAAGAAGAAATGCCAAACTAGAAATGGCCAAAGGTCGGCTTATCAGGACACAGTTGGGACACCCCCAATCTTTACCTGGGCTACAAAACAAATGTCTAAAAATTAGAAATATCTGGGAAATCAACTTGGACACGTTATAATACAAAGTCTCCCCACAGCACCATCTCCACCAACCCTAGATAAATATGAACCCTGCACTTAACCTACTAGAAACTACATTTTAGTTACGGAGCTGAGGTTTACATAATCACAAATTATATAATACTCCTGTGCACTAAAAACCCTTCTATAGGTGCAGCTTCACGCCATCCGGTCTTTTTAACATTTTCCAGAGAGGGCTGGAAAAGTCTGCTGAATAATTGGGGGGAGGGAGGGAATGGGGTGCTAGAAAAGTCATCCTTGACAAGCTGCAATCCCAAATGTTCCAGGATAAAAAGAGACTAGGAGCAGGTGACTCCCCACTGCCCCCATTCCCTGGCTCCGGAGCGTCTAAGGCCGAGGCAGAGCGACCGGGGAGCGCAGGGTGCTGGGCGCTGGGTGCGGGGCGCCGCGCGGAGGGTGCGGGGCGCGGGGTGCAGGGCGCGGGGCGGCGCTGCGCCGGCTGGGCGGGGGGCGCGGCCGGGGCTTACCTGCTCCCCGAAGTCGATGGCTATGTTGGTGATGCCCAGGGGCACCAGGAACCGGATCAGGGGCCAGTAGTGCGTGAGCGCCGGGAATTTCACCATAGTCCCCGCCGTGGGCTGACCCCACACACATCTGCCGCCGCGAGGGGACTCTGCCAGGAGCGAGGGGCGAGCGGGGCGGGCGGGGGCGCGGGCCGACAGAGGCCGCGTCCGGCGGGGCCTCGGGGCGGCGGCGGCGGCGGCGGC